ACGACGGTGGCCGTCCCTTGTGTCAAGACATTCTTCAACGAATTCAATGCCAGTTTCGCAAACTTCTTATTACATTGCCAATTTGCGTACCAAATCATGTGCATTGGCTTCCTAACTTACAACGCCCCCCATGGACGATACCGCCACTGAAGATACAAACAGACATATCTGAAATTCATTCTAAATCATCTGTAGACTCTACTGTGGCAAAAATTCTCTCCCTGGATCATATACAACTTCACTACGACACTGCTGTTCATGTTTATACAGACGGATCGACATCAAATCGAGGCTCAACCTCTGCTTTTACTATTCCCAAGTTTAATGTAAACAAATGCTTTCGGCTTTCGCACCATGTCTGTTCAACAACGGCCGAGCTCCATGCGATATTTTCAGCGTCGACATTTATTGGCACTTTTAATAAGCCAGACAATTGGGTCATACTGACAGATTCTAAGAACGCACTAGAACTATTGAAGGGTATAAATATGCGGTCCTCTTTGGGACCTTTACTGAATCAAATTCAAATGACACTAGTCCATGCAGAGAGCCTTGGACACTCGATAAGTCTCCAATGGATCCCAGGGCATTGCGGAATTGCTGGAAACGTTGAAGCTGATCAATTGGCTACAGAGGCCTATATATATGACGCAATAGAACTAACCATCTTCACACCCACAGATGCCAAACTACTACTTCGGCATTACCGAGAGGAATATTCACGACGACACTGGTTCACTGAGAAATCTGTCGACTCTCTCCTTCCGCATATTGACCCGGACCTTAAATTTCCACCATACTCCGGAACAAAAAGGAAATACGACACTCTCCTGCACCGATTAAGACTGGAAGTGGCTTTTACTGGAAGTTTCTTGCATCGAATTAGACATCGTGGGACCCCAGTATGCAAATGTGGTGATCCTTTTGAGGACGTTAGTCACATCCTCTTAGAATGCCAGTGCTACGCCAGTGAAAGGAATCGAATGAAAACTAGACTTCAACTATTGGACAGTCGTCCCTTATCTTTGGCAAAGATTTTGGGCCCTTGGGCGAACCGACAAACACTCAAAAGAGCACTAAACATTATTTGTGACTTTTTAAAATATAGTGGACTTTTATACGAATATTAAGTACAGACATATGCCGTACGCCTATGGTTGTATATATCTGTAACTATGTGCACAAGTGAGTGAGCGTGACAGTATGTAGCGAGAGTGTAAGTGATATGCTCTATCCCAGCTGAAAATGAGACAAGCAACACTCTGACAAGAAATGCATCAACAGCATCAACTGTTTTGTGCTGTGTTTTGAAGCAAGTGTTCCGTAACGCTCCGTTTCTTTTTTTTTTTTTTTTGCGCGTGTTTGTGTGTGTGTGCTGGTGTGGTCGTGTCAGGCCTGTGCTCTTACTTCGTACTCATTTCTTTTCTTCTTTATTCATTACGTTTTTAGGTCTTAGTTCATATCACCTTCAAGTTTTGGAGTAGCCGGCGCCATTTCAAGGCTGCCAAATTCTCCATAGCACCATTTATTTTCTTCTTCTTCATATAAGTTCAATAGCAAAATCTAATACTGCCAAATATACAGTTTTATAGCCTAGACACACTAAAACAGATAAGTATTAGACACATATATGCGGTATAATCCAATAGTCTAGATCACAACAGTTTTCCACAAGTTTATACAACATATAATTTGACAAAATTATGTCGAAGAACATGAAACCACAAAGGAAAGAATTTCAAAATACAAATAAAAATTCTATACAATAACTTCGTGTAGACAGAAAAGACCGTTCAAATAACGAAGTTACGAGAAAGGTCAGGTGATTGCTAACAAAATCTGATTTCAGTTTCAAGAAAGACAAGCAGTATCTAACAAAATGTGAGAGAACGGCACAGTAAATTTGACAAGTCAACAATATTGTATTACCCACTCCCCTCTCTAACGCCTCACTGCCTTGAGAGTATTGTAAATAAATAAATAAATAAATAAAATAATCCCTGGAGAAGGGGAGCAAGAGGGACAAAGGACAAACACAAATCTCCAAACTCAGCTTAGTGACTGGTGAGCGACCGAAAAAATCCGCCTGGTCCGGGTATCGAAACCGGGACCTCTCCATTACAGGTGGAGCGCTCTACCAACTGAGCTAACCAGGGGTTAGACGTCAGTATAATTATAACAGTAAATTTGTTTTGCGATCTCTTTTAAATTGGGATATTGATGCATCAAAGTTTAATTCGAATACGTGTCGATTCAAAATTGTAGCAGTCTGGAAGGCTAAAGTTTGTCGTCCGCAATTTGTTCGTATTATAGGTACTTTTCGTTTCGGTCGTCGAATATCCTACACTGGTGTTAGTTCACTTTCTGACGTTAAGCAAGCTCTATTTCTGTGGATTAATTGAAGCCGTTTAATGTAATATATTTGATTTGCCCTAAGCATGTGCTGTTTTAAAAACAGAGGTTCCGTACGCAGATTCCTGTAGTCCCCCTTGTAGTCCTCGACCATACGTAAAATTCTTTTTTGAAGGACTATTAGTTTATTGTAGTTTGAGGCCGTTGTTGTCCCCCAGACCAAAATTGGGTAGCTTAATATTGAAAGAACCAAAGAGTGATACATATTTTTAAGCAACCAACACGGGATAAAATTTCTGATTTTTTACAAAGTGCCTTTAATTCTGGGCAGGTCACCTTTTAACCTGGTAATATGAGTACTCCATGACAATTCCTCACTAAACCAAACACCATGAAATTTTTGCTCACTTGCTTGCTCCAGTTCCAAGCCTTTAAATTTGATGTTTATACTATCGGCGTCCCGTTTATTTACTGGTTTAAAAATTATGTATTTCGCTTTGTTTGAGTCTAATTTCAATCTATTTCATTGAAGCCATTGTGACAGTTTTAAGAGATATGCGTTTGCGGCTAGTTCGATACTCTGTTTTGCTTTTTACTCTAAAGAATACGTTAGTATCATCAGCATAGATGATTACTTCCTGCGGGCCAGATATTTTGTTTAGATCATTTATTTATATTTAAAATAATAAGGGGCCGAAAATTGATCCCTGGGGAACACCATGTTCCCCAGGTTCAAACGTAGAGAAACTTCATTCGTTGGCTTTATAAGCCAGCAAGGAATAACGCGATACTATTTTCTTGCCTTAGCCTGCCAAATAAAAGAAAAGAACCGAAATTTAGATGCGTTCTCACGAATTTCACCGGACGAATGAATGAAAATGGCGGCCATCCCCGCACAGCTGGCAGAAGCCGCGAGTTCACGCGCGTGCGCTCACGCCGCTTGTTCTGCGCCGCAGGCTGATTGGCTCACTCGGGACGGGGGCGTTTGGACGGTGAGATCGTAGAGTGGCCAAGCTCTACTGCTTAGAGCGCCATATCCTACGCTTGCGGAAGGCATACCCCCCGTCCGAGAGGACGCATGCCTAGCGCGCTGTACACGAAGTCGCGCTCTTGCGGTGCCTCGTGAGAATGCTGCCACGACGTACCGATATACCGGATTCGCCAAGACAGCAGAGACGGCTGTCTCCGCTCTCTCGACTGGTCTACGTTACGGATAGATGGATGCAACCACCCTGTCCCAATTTCAAGGAGAAAGCCTAGTCAGCACGCGTCCAACCTTTCCAACTAAGCAAAGCCTGTCGGCAACAAGGCCATTGGACTGTCGCGGGTTCAGACGCGTTCCCTTAGTAAAATATTACGTCTGCAATCGTCTCCGGGCTTTGCTTCACGTCTCCGCCTGCTATCTTCCTTGCCACGTGGCAACTCACACATGCTCACGAGCAATCAATCTGTACAAAATGTGCCCGCCATTAAATTACACTCTCGATGGTTTGAATAGCTTCCTAGAATAGACCATTTACGCGGATCCAAGGCCTATAGCCTTGGTATCCCATCCAGCGCGAAGCGTCTGATGAAACCAGAGTCCACGCCTTATACTGACGCAGCGCAAGTGTCCAATGCATGTTCAAATGGCATGCCCAAAGAAGGTTGTGAGATGCGTACAGCACCTTCCGCGGCGTTGAAAGGAACCCTGGGACAGAAGCAAAGCAGAGGAGCGGGCCAAGGAAAGCCAAAGGACGGTCAGCACTCGCAGCAATCTGACAGGCGCGCAGTGGACCCCTTTTAAAACTCTCAGTCCTCTAGTGTCTCCGAGGTTGCATTTCAGACGAGTGCCGCGTCAGCTTTCGGTACGTACTCCGTTTCAACCTGCTCATTTCATTAACCAAGAAGCCGACCATACGGGAAGCGTGGCGCTACTTGACCAGGATTTAGTGACTTTAATTAGGGTTTTCCTTGCAACATCAAGCGCTATGACAAGACCCCGGTCGTGCCCCCCCTCTCCCTTTTTTTTTCTTTTATAGGCCCACATCTACTATACGTGGCTTGCGCATGACGTCATTTCCGATGCCCTCCAGAGAAAAGGGCAAGAGGGAGCTCCCCTCTTATCCGGATCCTCCTTTGTGCCTCCCGGATTTGCACAGGCGTCGCTATTCTCCCCCCGGAAGATTATAGGAGATTAACCTGTCACTCAAACATCTTACAAAAACAGCTTCCCTCTCCTCCTTTTACTTGGTGTTCAAAAGTATGCGATGTGACGTCAGTGCAAGGACCGCAGGAAAGGCTACAAGCGCGAGCTCTTTGCTTTACGGCACATCTCGGCGGCACAAGCTCTCGTGCGTTAAAAGAGCAGCTCCCAACGCTATGAGCTCGCGCTTCTAGCCTTCTCTCCGGTACAACATAAGGTGAAACGGAGTATAGGTACGACATCAAGTTGTTAGAAAACATGAGTAGCGGCCTAATATGAGCGATTTGTCAGCCGGGAACGGTATGCCAAAAACGAACGGTGATCAAGCATATGGCGTCGGGTCGGGCGCTGTGTTCACATAAATATAATGCTAACAAAATTCAATAGGGCGTGCTACGGCGCCCCTGCTCGACCGCCCAAGTCGCCCACCCCTAATGCCGGTACCGGACGTGATTTTGCGCAGTGGCACCTCGGCTACTCCAAGGAAGCGTACACGCCCACGGAGCGAGGCTTCGAAACCTTCTACGGCTACTACAACTTTGGCGAAGACTACTACAACCATACCCTGGACCTGGTAGGTGTAAATCATATGTAGGGGAAATATATTCTTTTACAGCAACTGCAATATGTCGGAGATCACGTTAGGAAAATGGCGAATCAGGCTGGTGGGCTTCATTACATCTTAAGGGGAAACAGTAAAATCAAAAACGAGGACAAAGTGGAAGTTGGCAACTAGGTCATGGCGTTTTGTTGTAACCTTCGACTTTGTCCTCGCTTTTGTTGTGTTTTATTTTTAGGACGCACTATAGTTTTTGTAAAAAAGAAAAGCCTTCTGCGCAAGCACAGAAGCCAGTTTTATTTTTTATTTTTATTTTCATCCACGCGTTGTGAACATGTGCTTGCTGATGTAAAAAAAATAGGCTGGTGTATATAATGTCACGAATGACAAAGGATGAGGCGGTGAGTTAGCTGGAGAAACTGAACATTTAATGGGGCGAACTTGTGCCCAAAACAAATGAGACAAACGAAACAGCAGGATCGAACGCTGGGGCGAAACTGAAGTGCGGCTCGCCACACGGAGCCCCTTATGTACACGCGAGGGCCTAGGTAAGTTACTTGAAATACTTAATCCCTTCACTAGAGCTGCTTACCTGCTTACCTTACTAGAGTAACTTACCTAGGTAAGTTCTCTTCACTAGACCTGCTTACCCTTCACTAGAGCTGCTTACCTGCTTACCTTACTAGAGCAACTTACCTAGGTAAGTTACTTTTGTACTTGAATTACTTAATCCCTTCACTAGAGCTGCTTAAGATGCTTGCTTTCTTAAAAGAAGACTCCTGAGCATGCATAGTTGAGGGATGCAGGGGCGAACTTGTAGTCACGCTTTGCGGGGCGGCAGGCACTTAGCTGACCAGAATGGGGAGAGAGGTTTGCAGACAGTTCAAGTAAAAGGCAAAACGATGCCTATATCTATTTAGTTGAACCAGTATTTGCTATGATACTAAAGTACTAAAATTTTCGCTGGTTTACAACGATGTTTCATTAAAACAACTTGAGCTTGGGAACTTAGGGGGGGGCGGGGTGTCGCCCCCTCCCCCTCTCTTAAATACGCCATGGCAGGGTGCGCAGGCGCTTGCTATAATAAATAGGTTAGTGTATATACACGAACTCAACTCTGTGACGTCACGGCGCGGTGGTGGCGCGTCGGTCGCACTTCCGGTCTGGGGCTGTGGGCAGAAGTCCCCATGCCAGACGTCTATTCCTGCGTTGTTTTGAAAGGAACCAGATAAAAACCTGCCTTCTTGTCAAAACGCCGCGACTGGGGCCGTACCAAAAGTGTCGAGAAAGGTTTGAAGGTCAGTTTTCACGTACTCAGTTCGTCCGAGAATCTGGATATGTGCCGTGAAAAGGGAAAAGCAGACGCCGTCGGACACGATTGCTTGGGCGGAAAGCACTTTGGGTTAAATTTACGGATACTTGTGGTCATCACATTTATTTGTTTTGTTCCAACATAAACGCCGGAAAACCGTCAAGTTGTGCGGACCCCCTGCGGACTACGCTCAGTGCGTCTCCAAGTTCAAACGGCCGCCTGACCGTTCGAACTGTCGTGTGCTCTTTCAAACGTTTCTGCTTGTCGTCTGCTCTCTTAGACGACGCCGGCCCGTAGACCAAATATTGGCCGGGTAATTGCGATAAGAAGTAAGTGCAGGCCTCAAAAGACTTAAATTTGAAGGTTGGTAAGCAGGCTCGATGTAAACTGTAGATACAAGGAGATGTTGATCATTGTTACCAGTGACCATCACCGACCTGTTATGCTTAATTCACTTGGTCCGATTCTTCTTGCGATTTTCAGTATCGACGTCGGCCATCTCAGCTACGGTTCACGCTTTTGCAGCCCGAGCGGCGTCGTGACTGAAAATTGCAAGCGAATTCTCATCATGCGAATCAGGCTTTAGCGCACATACTGCTGCGTCCACACGGAATGAATCGCCACATGTCACATTATTTACGCGAAGTTTTACGGTGTAACGAGCCTCGGTAACTTCGCTGACGCCGCTCAAGATAGTCAGACATGGCCAGGAAGACGTAATTCGAAAGCGAAAAAGGGCGGGGGGACTCACACCGACGCCGACAACATCGCATTTCAATGATTTGGTTCTGGGCGACGGCGAGCTTCTTGCCCACACCCCCATCGCGCATGCGCGGCGCCGGTGGCGTCCGCTAGAAGCGCTCCGGTTTGTTTGTAAACATGAGTTGGTGTATAGTTTTCTTCGTACCTTGTGTGAGATGCTTGAAATGTTTCATCCCTGCACTTCAAGTATACAATTTTAAACAGATTTCGAAACAATTTTTTTTTCTGAAAAGCTCTCGTCCACTTTTCAGTACATATTACTGAGTATGCCTTGTAAAAAATTACCCTCCAATCTTCACAATTAAAGACAAAAACGATAATGCCGTAATACAATTTACTCATTAAATATTTTATTAAATAATTCGCGAATGACTTAATAACTTGAGCTTGAGTCCCCAAGAGCAATGAGTAGATTAGTAAAGCCGCCTCTGAACATGTATTTAAGACTTCTGGTTAATAAATGAAGAAGTATTTTTTTAAGAAATGGAAAAATATTTTGCTTTTAAGAAATGAAGAAACTTTTGTTAAATAAAGAATCAATTTGATTTACCAAAGCTAAATGCGTTTTCGTGGTACCCAGGTTCTTCTGATGCCCGCGTACCATTTAATCGGGAAGTTCAAAATTGTTAATCAGAACACGGCAAATAAATGTGATGTCAAAACCAACGTTAAAACTTTTCATGCGCTTTTAAGTTGAGTGACGTCACGTGTTGAAAAACTTGCAAGACGAACAGGCACCCTAAAAAGCACGTAATTTTCGATTGCACTTTTCGTTTTCCTGTGTTGATTTTAAACAGCATTCATTTGACACCCTCAAAATTCGTTTCACACCCCCAGCATCTTGTAACCCGTCGAGAACAGGTTGTACTGCCCCTCCCCCCCCCCCCCCCCCCCCATATCCTCATGTGGCCCCCATATAACATCGGACGTCACGTTTTCATTGTTGCCGGTAGAGCCTCTTAGACCGAACATAAATGTTCTAATTTTTCTGGAAAAAAATAAAGACGTTTACAGTCTCCTGTAATGCCGAATCAGAGCGCAGCTCTTGAGGAGGAGGAGGCGAGGGTACAAAGAGGAGGGTATGCCTCCCTCCCTCTCCATACCTTCTCCTCCTCCCTTCCTCCTCATCTTCCCATCCTCTTCCTCCTCCCTCTCCCCTTCGTAATCCTCCTCCTTTCTTCTCCTTATCTCATTCTCCTCCCTTCCTCCTCGCCGTCCTCCTCCCTTTCCTCCTTCTTCCTCCCTTCCTCCTTCCTTGTGATGTCACTGGGGACCCTATTGACCCTCGTGACGTCACTCTTGAAGGCGTCTTGAAGGTCGCGACCTTCACGTGACCTCCGTCGTAACCTTCACGAGTGACCTTACTGACGTCGCTCGTGTCACTCGTAACCCTCGACCCTCGTGAAGGTCACGCGAAGGTTGTGACATTCCCGTGACATTCACTGTGAAGGTTACGGGAATGTCACGAAAGTCGTGAAGGTCACGACCTTCGTCGTGACCTTCACGAGTGCTCGTTTTGACGGCACTCGTGTCACTCGTAACCCTCGACACTCTTGAAGGTCACGTGAAGGTCGTGACCTTCACGAGTGACCTTTTTGACGTCACTCGTGACCCTAGTGAACCTCGTGACGTCACTCGTGACCCTCGCGCTGTCACACGTGACGGCACCTGTCACGTCACGAGCGCGTTGCGTTATTGGAAAGATCCCATAACGCAACGGCGGTAACACCGACGGTGACGGCGACGCCGCTCAAACCGAAAACGGGCGCCTAAGAGCTCCGGACTAAAATTTATTGTGGCTTGTAGTTTGAGTTACTGTTGAGACCTGTATATTCATCTTTTGAACTAATTTTGAGGCCAATCGGACACTTAAAAGTTGGCTCCGGCAAAATGTTGAGCAACATCTTTCTATTGTCAATGGTCCGTTACTTGTGTCCCGATACCAAAAAACTAGTTTCCAATATTCTGGTGTACCGAATCGAAAACAAATTAAATTAAGAAAATAATTTCCTTCCGGATAACCAACAAAGAAGCCATAGGAATATGTTCCTGACGTTTGTGGCTTACACATTTTCGGAGTTTCAGATTATAAATATCTTAATCTTACACTTCCTAAAAAACTCCGGTTGGAAGTTCATATTGATCATATTTGTTAATCCGCAATTTGTGAATTTGGCTTCTTTAAGCGTAAACTTAAGAAATTATGATGACATACAATACTTCTAGACTATAATAACTTTGTTCACTTAAAGTTTGAATATGTAAGCGTTGATTAGGATCCGTTAACTAAAACAAAAACATTTCAAAACTGGAAATGGCCCAAAGACTGCGGTAAGGTTTGTCTACAAAAATGTTAAGGGCTAGACTCACCATCTCTCCAGATGCAAATTCAATTATTACTGTAGAGCTGCGTAGGCGAGTCTCCCGGTTGACATTTTTGTTCTTTTTGCTACAAAATTAATTTAGGCCTCATGTACATAACTTTATGCAGTTGCTGATAAGACGATACGTACCACAATAAGAACTCATTAACGCCAATCTTTGCTCGACAAACCGTTTAAATTTTTCCTTCTTTCCCTGCACTGTCACTGACTGAAGTGGTGTAACCACAAGCATTTTTGATTGATATCTCTTAGTTACTGTTGATTGTTTTTATTCTCGAATATTGTTATAATTGCCATACAGGCAAATTTCGAAGTCGAAAATAATCAAGTATTGGCAGTGTAGTTTTACTTTGTATAGTGATTATGGAAAGCGAAATCTTTGTACCTGTGTGTGTATTTGCGCGTGCGAGTAAGATTCAAACTCTTTTCCGTTTAATCTTATTTTAAACTACCTTTATTGTATGCAGTGTTCTTTTTTCCACTCCTGCTTGAGCCGAAAATTGGCCTGCAGTATGTTATACATAAAAAATGCAGAAATGTATTTCATGATTACCGAA